ATATTTGAGGTATAGTAAACTTGTGTTTAAACTACGTGTGAAAAACGATACATACCTTAGGGCAGGAGGCGTGCCGTTTAGGTGCTCCTTCCCGTCCCCTGCTTTCCTGCCTCAGATAAGGTCTGACAGATTCACTTGGTAGGAATACGTGACAGATGCGTCACTGAATTATCGTAGTATTGGCAGCCACAGGAATTATAGGCAGTCTGTTCCCTTCCCGTTCTAACAAAAAATATCGGGCCTGGTGACCGAATGGTGAAAGCCGTGAAGTGCTGACTATGTGCGTGATTCTCCGTACTCTTCAGGACTCCTGCGTTCAATTCTCGATTGGCTCCTGTTGTTTTTGCCCTTTTATTATTCACTAAATAGTATTTGTTCGTCGCGTGTTGTCTATTGCTCGGTATTGGCAATGCACACATTCGGTCTCGCCGTATAATGCACTCTATAAACAAGATAGTCATAAGCTTCTAACTGCCGCCTTCTAGTCCTCAACCGCAGCTAGGCCTTCTTTGTGATGAAGCGACTTTGACCAAATGTGATTGGCGCCTGGAAATACTTGGTATGGACGTGTCGCGAAGACGCAACGAAAGAACCTCGCTGCACAGGGTGAGGATAGAGCTCAGGGGGATTGATCTGGGCCATGCCGGGGCCCCAGCCCCTGAAGTCCACTAGGTCCCAAAAGCCTTGGAATAACATAATTTCAAGATGAAAACTAATTCTTGCTGAGAAGAGATGTCAATTTGGGTCTTGTCAATATTTTCCGGAAGCCTCACGATCTACTTTGATTCTTGATGGTTGGACTCGCCCAGTGTGTTGAACTCAGCGGATGACCACCAGACTTCCGTTGAAGCCCTTAGTATCAAACAAAACCTGACTAGGGAAGCTTTTCCGATTTTGCTTGCTGAGATGAGATCTAATGAGAGTGGCTGACACCTAGAGGACGCAGGCAACGTAGTACGAAATTGCAATGTCTATATATAAGGACGTCACTCAACTTTCCCACATAGAGCAATATCATCAAGTCAACTGACAGAATTAACTAAAAAGAAAGAGCGCATGATGCTTCCCAACTCAGTGGGACATCCCACAGGCAGCAGAACACAGCAAAAAGCAAAAGACTGCGTCGAGGGGGAATCGAACCCCCGGCTCCCCGACGCTGCTTGATGGCAACGGAGAATTTTACCACTAAACCATCGACGCTGGGTGCTGATGCTTCGAGTTGACGACTCGGATGCTGGTTGGGGACGAGAATGGGACTCAAGTTGGGAAGCGGGTGGGTAGGTGCCGTTGTGTGTGTTCGTGGGTTAAGATTGTGGAGGATGAGGGTTCACGATGTCCACTCATTCCACTTTTACCTTCATAAGACTCAAATGATGCTGGCCCCACCCAAAAAAGAAAAAAAGAAAAAAAGGGCGGGGTTGTTCAAACTCGAGGACCTTTCGAGGTCTTGTGCATTGTAATCATGTGTGGTTTTAGCATCATGCCTCTTCGCTGCGACTACCGAGGCATCAGCGGACGGAAAGGGACACGGTGGAATTCCACCAGCTTGCAACAAGCTCGTTGAAAGTTGAAGAAACTTTGATTGAGCGAATCACTTCATTGCGGAAATCAGGCGCAGTTACAGCGATGACAAGTCATATCGATCCAACAATCGTAGCTGCCCGGTCGTAAACTGTACCGACCTATGAGCACAAGCTTCTAGCGTCTCTGAAGAAGGCGTCTACCACCACAGACAAGGTACTGACAAGTTGGCGTCGCATATTCTTACTACGTCGTAACTCGTGACACCTGTATTGGTGTGCTCTGTGACAATTCTGACTGAAGCAGGGGTTCCGGCAGTACGCCCATTGATTTGAGACAATGAGGCTCAAATTCAACTCAAGCTCGAGATCAGTGGCCAGTACAACGTCATCAACTGGCCCGGCTGACCTTACATGTAGCGATCTCAGCTTGCCGCTTAACTGTGACATCACTGCAGGATGACTTATTGGGTGTCGCGTGGGAGAGGAAACTTCGTGAGAACTCGCTTGTAGATTAACAGCCACCTCATCTTGGCATATTACTCCAGCTAACGGTTGTGGTGATTCGTTGTGTGCGAGTACCATTTGTGTCGCTGGATCTAACATAGTTGTTTGTTTGGAAATACCTGACTAGCCAACTTGAAGGTGCGACTTGCTAGCTCGAAGGTCGTAAGCTGGGACCTGAAGTCCCCACGCAAAGAATGGAATATCATAGTCTTGTAATCATAGGTCGCATAATCTTTTCATCAATAGAACTGTTGTAGGATTACTCACTCTGTAAAGCTAAACTCTCTACAATTGTCTGGGACAGGACCTGAGAAGCTGAGATCAGCAGTCAGCCGTCAGCTGATAGACCCTTCAACCGACAAGGGCTGTCTGAGCTCGATCTCATTTTCGCAGCTTGCATTTTAGAGCTACTTGTTCAAATTTCGAAATCGCTCTTTCGTAAAAGCGATGGTAGTTTATAGCAGTGCGAAGGAATTACTGGAATTCAGAAACGCCGAAGCGACAGAGAAAGGACCAGGTTTGCAAGCCGATCTTTGAGGACAATCTGATATTGGCGCATGATAAATCTTAAATGAAGAGACGGAGAGACCAGTAATTGCCTCGATAGAGGTATGTAGAGAACCATAATGCAGAACTAAAGAAATGATGATAAAGAAACCCTTGAGGGTACCGACACTCCAAGATCTTCATTCTTCATATTGGGAGCGATTCTTCACGTTCCAAGCTCCCTACAAGGCTGGAGCAACGTCAGGGAGACCCTCGCTGAGACCGTTGTGTTGGAGAAGATGACCGCGCAGCATATCAAACAAGTGCTCGGAAGAGTCGTAGATGTAAGAAAAGGGACAATGGCGGTGGCATAGATTGGCGTGACTCGTGTGCTGTGGATAATTAACTGGCTTCAAGGTGAAGCCTCGCTGCCCGCGGGGAACTCAAAATCGACTATTCTTACAGAGTGTGAATGATGTACTTTCAAGGTGAATTTTCAGGCTCCAGCTGAGCCCCTTTCATAATTTCTTATTTTTAGAATTCCTCGCCTTCGAGGACACCTGCCAGTATCTTGAGGCTTGCAGATCAAAACGTTTTCGCAGAAGCTCGCGCCCCTCCCTCAAGCACTCGACCGGCGCGGACCCAAATGTACGCTACGCTCTCGCTGCTCCACGCCTTGATCCTAAGTTCGGTTAGAGGGGAACCCTGAAATCGAGGAAGTGGCGTCGCGGGCCGCGCCAAAGCCGCATTAGACCTTTCCCCGAATACCCCGGCGCCCCGAACGGGGAGCGAGTCTTGCCAGATTCGGATACGAAGTCGACATCGACGTCATGAACGTGCCTTTCAGAGACGTTGGTCGGGCTCAATTCCCCCGGCGACTCAACCAACGTTACGTTACCTTGTTTTTAGCGTTCAGAGACCGAGAATTGCTTCAACGTACTAACTTCCTTTTCTCCCTTGGAAACAGAAATTAGCCGCGAAGCCGACATAGGCGAGGTCTATCGTGTCACTATGCCATTAGCGATGTCTCATCGCCCATTGCCACGGCCCCTTGACACAAGTGGTGGATCTCGTATAGACCCAGTGGACCAGCGTCCGCAGACTGGCGAGGAAGAGAATCGGTGAAGGTCTCACCGCCACGAGATACTGAGCAGAATAACCTGTTGAGAACCTGTGAATGCAAATGGAAAAGTCTATTAAGCCCAACGGGTTCTAGTCACGATTTATCGGGGCCCCCTTCAAACCAGTTGACAAACGGCAGAACGTTGCGTCTCTTTCGCTTCCCGGCTTCCAGCAGAATTGAAGACGATAAAAACCCTCTCGGACTTGAGGCTCATAATGCTCTTCCGATTTTCAAGCTGTGTGAGTTGTCAGTCAGTAAACATAAACAGAGACAACAAATCATAATCTCAAGAGAGTCCACGCTCAGGATTTCAGCGGAGCAACAAGTCATGCATAGAAGGCGACCCCTGCCATCGACATGCCAACGCTTCAAGCTTGGCAGGGAGAGTGGGGTCTGCCAACTGCACGCTGCGCGCAGGGAAATCGGCTTTGGCCCGGTTCATCTGAGCCGCGGGAAGAAGCTTGGCGTGCGTAAGGCTCGCTCAACCTTCTGGGCTGAAAAAGAAGCCTCCGGGGAGCTAGTTTTCTCCGAGGTTGGGGGAGTGATGATCGCGCGACAGGGGTGACTTTGTCTGCAAGTTGCCCAAAATAGATAGATTAAAAGTTGACAATCGTCCCATCATGTGCCTTGAGGCGGGGAAAGTTGTGGGGTGGTCCAATCAAAAGGCTATGCGTACGAGCGTTCGTCTAATCATACAACATGAGCTGCCAAACCTAGAGCCCGTCATTAGGGGGGGCTTTTCTGGATCTGTTGTGGACATGCGGTAGTTTAAGGCTGGGGTTCTCTTGAGGTAATTCTAGGTATGCCCGCAATTGAAGTTGGGAAGCCCCTTTCCCATGTTATGCCATGATCAACATTTGCAGTGATTGTTGTATTGGAGATGCTGCATGTTATGGTAAGGAGGCGCGGCTGATGTGTTTCATTATGCGCGTTCTCGCCGTCAAAAAATTCCTATTTTGCACATGGCAGGAAACTGTAAATTGGAAAGGGCTATTGTTGAATAATTGGAGTTGGACTTTTCCGTTGTTTATTTTGCATAATAGACGTCATATAGGGGTTGGAGGCTATGACGTTTCACCTCAAGACTAATTCGGGAGTCGGGTCAAATACGAGTTCGGCAGTACCGGGGTCCACCGATCGCCGTTGGCGATCGTCATTGCCCCGGTGGATAGCCTCCCGACTCCTCGTATTGTCCAAGATCCAGTTGCAATCAAACTAATATATAAGGTTGACAACTTCGCAAACTATCATATTCTTTTCGATCTGTATCACACACAATCGACTCATCTAATCACAACCTCAATCAACTCACAAACAACCTCTTCTTTAATCACCAACCAAACACCAAAACCACAACCTTCAAAATGCAGTTCGCCACTCTTCTCGCTTCCGCCTCCGTTGCTGCCGCTGCTGCCATTAGCAAGCGTGACGTTACCTTCAAGGTCTCCAACTTCGGCGCCGATTGCATCCCCCACAGCACCCAGTGCTCGTAAGTCTTAGAAAATTCTACAACATCGTCCTACACATACTAACAACGTTCTAGTTACGGATTCACCGTCATCCAGCCCGGCACCATGGAGACCACCGGTGTCAACTGCACCGCCCTCGTCGCCGGCAACACTGACGGCACTCTCCCCGATGTCAAGGAGGGCACCTGCACTCTCTCCTCCCGCACCTTCGACGTCGTCCGCAGCGCCGAGGGTCTCACCCTTACCGTTACCCAGCCGGTTACCCCTAGCAGCAACCAGTCTGGCTCCCACCTTCTCCCCAACTCCGATTTCGAGATCTCCAACCAGCCCAACGCTGTTGTCCAGCACTACACCGGTGCCCGCTCTTTCGACCTCGAGTAAATGGTTCGCCTTGTTCGATTTCATCAAAGGACATGCTAGCGAGGATGGACGTGCCTTACACATAGCATTGGGTGGATGGCAAAAGATTGTACAACACATGTTTCGATAGAGTGAAAAGATACCATCATAGAATTCAACTGATTACCCATCCACCACTCGAAATGATCAAACTTTCGGCCAAGCCAATTCACCACTCGTTGTTTAGCCCTTTACCTTTCGTGACGCATACAATTCCTTGGGATTGAATGTGAATCGACTTACGTCTAGATTCCGCGAGACTCTAATGTCGCGGTGAGGAGTCCGCTAACCGTCACAGCCATATTGTTACCGATTCCGGCTTGGTTCAAGGACTTCCTCGAGTACGAATTATCGCCAACTTAACGCACCTATAATTACAGGGAAATAAGGTTGGCCCTGCTGAGCAAGTTCTGGCCGAGTAACTAAGTATTTGCGCTGGCAGCCAATGCCAACATGACTGCCTTGAACGATCTTTGGGCCGCAGTGCTTCACTCAACGCAGTCAACGCAAATCTAGACTCAAAGTCGAATTGATTGAGGGCAAATCTTCAATAATTGATTGGATTTGTTAATTAACCATTTAATTAATTGCAGGATTTGGCGCTGTAGGTACGACTTTTCTCTTTAAAGACGAGGCCACTTCTACGGGGACTTTTCCGGCTTTTATTAAGGAAATTCCAACTTTTTGCACAGAATCAATCTGCCCAACTTTTACAATCGACTTTAGCCTCGAATTTGAATTGATTGAGGGCAGATTTCTGTCAATTGTTTGTTTTGATTGTTTAAGTTGCGCTGAGTAAAGCGCTGTTGGGCCGTTCGATTTTGGCGACATCATTTCCCTCATGTCTTTTGATCAGACCTGTTTGAAGCGACCCGTGTCAGAATTAAGATCCTTACTTAAGTCTCACGCAAAAAAGTGAATGTGTCCCTGGCCAAGTATCTGCGAAAGGGTGGTCTCGCAGCTGCACTATTGTGGCCGCATTTTCTCCGTACATTCTCATAGGAGATATCCTCCTTAGTTGGGCTCAGCTACTTCATTATAACAAAAAGCCTAGCTGATGGTATTTACGATAACGTACCTCTTGTGAAGAGTATTGGTCAGTCGGGCCTTGCGGCCAAGTGGGTAGGTAGATACCTATATGGTACGCTCCCACGGGCAGTCAAGTCACCCAGAGTAAGCGCTGCATTCTCACAACCAAACGACTTTTCACAAGCTAGGGGCTACTGCTGATTACCCTCTTGAGTAAAGATTGAAAGAACACGCCTCCACCTGGTGCCAAGAGGGCTGAAATTGCCTATCGGCTGCGGCAACAGTCTCACACACCGGCGGGGACGTCAGGCGCCACAAGTGATAGGACGTCTGCATGCAGTGATGGCTCCGTGTGGTAGTCCTGTTAGACGGTGGAAGTTTACAGCCAACGCTACAAAGGGCTGAAATTATGTTGCGGCTGATGTCTCACTCACACTGCCGTGACTGATTGGTCAGGCATCGTGGCGCAATGGCTCTGGACCCCGCCCATCCCCCATGAGGGTCGTCTTGAGCGTGCACATAAGTCCGCTCCCACCCTTCTCTTGCTTTTGGCAGGCATTGGCTTCCCTGCTTTTCTCCTCGAAGACAGGTGTCGGTCAACTTACTTTTGTTTCATAGAGGAATTGGTCAAGGATGCAATCTACTAACAACCCGGTAGAACGAAACCTCAAAGATCTATGTGCAGGAACGACTACTGACGGTTTTGCAGACTGATTCTCGAGGGATCCATGTGGTTTATGATGACGCTAGCGCCATCGTGGAGTAAGTCTGACTTGCAGCATTTCGGTGTATGTATTAAGGCTGACCAAACTGCCCACGTAGTATCGTTGCTGTTCACGGTCTTAATGGAGACTCATTCACGACATGGACTCATCCGAATGGAAACTTCTGGCTCAGGGACTTACTACCTGAAACGATACGAAACGCTCGCATCATGACCTATGGTTATGATGTGGGGCTAATTGGCAAAGCTTCTTCGGAGAGGTCAGCTGAATACGCCAGGAACCTACTTTCTGAGCTTGATGACATGCGATTGGGATCTGCGGTAAGTGACCATTGCTTACATATTGGATAACACTGCAGATGGCTGATTCTTGAACCTAACCTTCAGAAAACGAGACCTCTCATTTTCATTGCCCATAGCTTGGGGGGTATCGTCGTCAAGAAGGTACTGTCGCTCAGCCTTTGATCATACAGTCGGTCATGAAATTCATCCATCGATAGGCCCTGATCATCGCTCGTGGGCGCGAGACCTCATGGACAGATCTACTCATCAGTGTGAGGCATGTTATGTTCTTCGGAACTCCTCACCAAGGCACTTCCTCGGTAATGGGATTTCTTCGCCGCCTTGGTGCGAAACTCCAACGCGCAGACAGCTCAAGTGTGTTGAACGAATTAGCCTTGTGGAGTCCTTCCCTCTTGGATACAAATCACATGTTTCCGGACATCGCCAAGTATTTCACCATCACTACATTCTATGAACAAGAAAAGACGCATAGAGTTCAAGTATGTCAAGATTGAAACCTACGTGTCGCCTTAGCTAATTCTATCAATGCCAACAGGTTGTTGATGAAGGCTCAGCCACTTTGAACCTCGTCGGCGAGAAAGTCGTAGGATTGGATGCTGATCACTTGGAAATGTGCAAGTTTGAGAGTGCACACGTATACGGATACAGGGTCGTTTCTAGAAGACTGGAAGCAGAAATCTTTAATCTAAGTGACCCTGTGAGTATTCGGAATCGAGAAGCGCAAGTTGCGGCCGCACTACAGTCAGTCACGATCTCCGAGGCCAATGAACGTTAATTGCACACATATTTATATGCAACCGATCAGGGCCCATTCATCTTACAGTATGTACTCCACGGACGTAATGCGGTGCTTTTGCCTGTGTAAGTTCCCATCTAATTGATACATAATGCTACGTAGGCTTCCTCTGGGGCAAACCTCATGATGAAGTGAAAGAACACAGCAAACTACGGCTGCAGCTCTTGCGAAACCTGTATACGGCTGATCGAGATGTTGCGAATCAAGCCTGTAGTTACGAGTCGCATCGAGCTCGGATACCCAATCGGGTGGACAACACTTGCACTTGGTTTACCAAGCATCCCAAGTTCCTTGAATGGCATGAGAAAGACCAATCGAGTGTTCTTTGGGTCACTGCAGCCGCTGGATGCGGAAAATCAGTAGCAGCCTCAGCCGTGATTGAAACTCTCGAGACTACCTTGTCTCGTCAAAGGCCATCAGGAACGGTCTGTTACTTCTTCTTCCGAGATGACAATTATTTCCAAGGTGACGCCTTGCATGCTCTCAGAGCTTTGATTCATCAACTTCTAATACGACGAGCAACTTTGCCGAATCATTTGTTACAGGAATGGCAACATAAAGGAGACGGCATTTTCAAGGAATTTGATTCCCTTTGGGAATTGTTTCTATCAACAGTGGCAGAAGAAGATGGGTATACGGCGTGTGTCCTGGATGGCGTCGACGAGTGCGAAGGAGTTTCGCAAAAGTCTCTCGTCTCATCAGTCGCCAATTTCTACCATAACCTGAGGCAGAAAAGTCCCAAACCCAGCCAAAGCATTCACAAGATAAAATTGGTTCTTACCACTCGACCACTGAATTCGGTTTTGGGACCTCTCCGCAAGTTGGCTGATTGCCATCTCAAAGGCGAAGAAGAATCCGAGTCACTCTCTTGGGACATCCAGAGAGTGATTCAGCATGACTTGAACCACCTTGTTCAACAAGAAGTGCTTAGCTCGAGAACAAGCACCAGACTTCGAAAAGCCTTGGCAGAGAACCAGGGTCAAACGTTCCTATGGCTAGCTCTGATCATGGAGAAAATCAAGACTGCAGCGAACGAGGGAGCTTCTGAAAATGAGCTGCTCATTATCTTGGAAGACACCTCGGTGTACGGACTATATGCGAAATTTTTGGACGATGCCGTGGCCCAATCTCGCACCGCCCAAACCACAATGAACCTACTCCAAATTATCATATCGGCTCGTCGTCCGCTTACACTCCTCGAAATTAATCATGCATTGTCGATACAAGAGGAAATATCCTCTACCCAACAGCTTGAGGAATATCTCCACAACAACATTGAGAGCTATTTGCGTCGCCTCGCTGGGTTCCTTTTGACATTCCGAAACGGAAGAGCCTACTTCATTCACCAGACGGCTAAAGACTTTCTCATGGGAGATGGTCATTGTCAAAACAATGCTTTGGAGCAAAGTTCTAGCGGGTGGTATCGCTCAATAAGACTGAGCGCTGCAAATGAGGTCCTAGCACTCCGTTGTATATGGTATCTCTGGTTAGACGAACTCAATTCGGAGCCTACGGATGGAACAGAAGACTATACCACCTTCAACTTAGACTTCGTAAGGTCTGAGTTGATTGACCAATATCCTCTACTGGGCTACGCTGCCACATACTGGTATCACCATGTTAGAGAGAGCGGGATGAACAACCAACATCAATGCGCAAAGAAGGCCGTGTCTCTGTGTGATACCAGAGGTCTTCGATTTTGGACATGGTTTGTCGTCAAAAGGCCATTCTGGTCCAGCTACATGACGGAAGCTATCACCGCATCTGATCACCTTGCCATTGCTCATCTCTCAGATCAAGAGGTCGCATCCAAGACGCTTGAAACCTCGGCTATGAATTTGCATCCTTCCAAGCAGCTTCGGCCACTTCACTGGGCCATATCAGAACGGAAAATCTGGGTGTTGATGATACTGATGCGTCTCAAGAAGCACATTCCTTTGGAGCCAACTGAGGGTCAAACACTAGAATGCATTCGAGATTTGATATTGGATGCTTCAAAAACTTGCATCCGCTCCACAAAAGCCAGGAGAATTTACGATATCCTGGTGTTTTATGGCGTATCATTTGACCAGTTCAGACTGCATTGGAGTCGAGGGAGAGATTTGAGAAGACTGCACTGTTGTCTTGCAG